CAGGAATACATGATCTTAAAGATTGTTATTTGAACTACATAGATCTGTGCATTTCATTTTTTGATTTTCCTTTAATAATCTAGCTTTTGTCTTGTATCGTATCTTAGAGTTAGTTTTCTGGCTGTATCATTTATGCTGGGTCTAACACTTTCCCTAAATAAGCGATTTTTTGGGCACAGTTAAGGTGAGAATTTTTTTTTTTTGGTCCCCATCCCAGTGACAAATGTACTGTAAACCTGTAACGGAAAGCGTGTGTGTCTGTGTGAAAAATACGTACACATACAGATTAAACGTATTAAAAGTAATTACTTGCATTATAGGCAGGATGAGTTTCTCTCTCTGGATCACTTACATGTTTACCTCTCTCATGCAGCCTTGTTCAATTTAATGTAGGTACAGAATTTCTAACCAAACATGGGATGCTGCAGCGGCCGAGGCTTGCGGGCAGACTTTTTATCTCATTGCAGCTCCTGGAGGCCCTTCTGCAAAGTTTAGGGGTGATGGTAGAGAGAGAGGTGGTGTGTATAGGATTGTCCCACAGCACATCTAAGTCTCTTATTTGGTTGACTTGCTCATTCTTTGTTCTGGTATTGAACCATACATTCCTTAAAAGCTTGTATGAAGGAAGGCTCAAACGTGAGTTCAGTCAAGATCGATTCTATCTTGAAATTTACTGCATGTGTCACGACTGATTTGCGGGGCATAGTCCGAAAATGTAAATGCGTTGAATTTTTCATGAGGTGGAGCACTTCTCCTACTATGTAAGTAAATATGTCAGTAGATCAAAGTTTTTATGTGAAAAAGGTTAGTGTTTATAAATCTAATTCATCAATTTTTATCACTCTAATGCAAAGGAGGTTAAATTGAAGATCATATAAATATAAAGTGATGTAAATCAAGATAATTCATGGCTCTTGTCTGCCTTTCTGGTTCTGATTCTCGTGCTGAACACATGCTTGCTCCTGGTTGAAGTCAGAATAAACATAATGGGAGTATCGTTAAAGATCGGCAGCGGCGGCATCTGACGCTTTTGCGTGGGTCAGATCCCAACAGACTTCTTTAGCTAGGTGCATAGTTATTTTTACAATGACAAACTGAGTTTTGTATTTCGTTCTAGTACTTCTATATTTTTAAGGGGTGAAGTCAAATTAACAAAATTAAGTTATGATAGTAACGTGTTAAAAATAGGATTGTTCTCATGTATGTATTTTACAGGTTTTGTTAGTGTGATAGTGTGTTAGCAGATAAGCAGACAATAAACTTCCTTAAAGAACTTTGCAAAAAGGCAGAACATGATGGTGGAATTTGTTTGGGCTTTTTCCTCTGTTGCAAATTAATATAAAAGGTGGGGAGGAGTTTGATTTTTTCTTTTTTTTTTTTTTTGATATGCTAATATTGTCTTCTGAATTAGCTTAGGGAAAAAAGATCCTAAATCTGAGCCTAACAGAAGTAAGAGGAGATGGTTTATGGGTTTTGTCTTAAACACCTGTACTATTGTGACATTTGGAAACTTTCTTCCAGAGAGTTCATCTCGATGGGTGAACTAGGTAACCCAAAAGACCACTCTCTTTCCTTTTCCGACACTTCAGATGTTTGTTTGAGATTTCAAAACAATTTTCCTTATGGAAAGCTTCTTTTCAGTGGCCGTAACATTTACGGATGGGGTTTTAAAGATGTGTACTTCTTCAAAACAAAGCTGTTGGTAAATACTCTTGGGGAAAAGATGGAGATGGTAAAGCTATTTGTCCAAATACCCTGCAACACAAAAAGGGGATTTGTGACTCTTACTGATCACTTGTGCGGTTGGTAACTGCTAGTCTGGTAATTGCTAATAGTGCAAACACTATTTTTTCTTTGCCTATTTAACTCTTTTTATACCAGTTAAGCCTAATAATGAGGAAACAATTCTGTAGTTCAGACATTTAAAAGCATTTGAAATTCAAAATCATTTGAATGATTTGATGCCTTTATCTTTTAATTTTTTTTTTTTTTTAACTTTTTTTATAGGCAAAGCTACATCCTCTTCCAACCCTGGTAGCCCAGCGCCAGATTGGTACAAAGATTTTGTCACTGATGCAGATGCTGAAGTGTTGGAACATTCTGGGAAAATGGTGCTTCTCTTTGAAATTCTTCGAATGGCAGAGGAGCTTGGAGACAAAGTGTAAGTCAGATCTAGGAATATTTTTAATGGCTTTACAATTATGTTAGCCTGACAGTGTTCTTCATTCAGTCTTCATAATGCTGTAGCTCAGTTTTCTGAAGCAAACGTGCATGCGACATTCATTTTTATCAGTGAGCTCTCCCTGACGTGCATGTACTCCGCCAGAGTCTTCCTCTGTGTCTAGAAAGGCTCTTTGTTTCAAAGGTAGTATCAGAGTGAGGAGAGAAGAAAAATAAAGAAATACCATAATTAAAATGACTTCAGAGGTGGATTTTGTGTTTCCCTCTTTCTGTTTTCAGCCTAGTGTTTAGCCAGTCCCTAATATCTCTGGATTTGATAGAAGATTTTCTGGAGCTGGCCAACAGGGAGAAAACTGACAAAGAGAAGCCTCCTATTTATAAAGGCGAGTGTCACCTTGAACAATTGCAACGCTAATAACTTTTTTACAAGTCTCTATTCAATCCGAAGGGAATGGATTTGTAATAATTGTTTTCATTACAAGTATTGTATGCTCTGTGCTATTCCTGAAGTTGGCAGGGTTATTGGTCTCCTCTGCAGGTGGTCTCTGCTAGCCCATTATGGACTCTTGCTTTGGATTTCATTCTGTATCATCCATGCTTGATATAGCCGAAGCAGATTAAATGTTCATCGTCTGAAAGGAGAGAAGGCGTTTTGTTAAATTCTGTACGAAAGTGATGTTATATGCTGATGCGTGGTGAATTCCGATCATTCCTACTGGCAGAGAGATAACAAAAGAAAATCAGACTACTTTAAAACAGTGTGTAGAACATGCAAAATGTGAATTTAGGCTTTATATGTACTGCAGGAGATTGTTCTATGGATTTCATAAGGGAGCGAAGTATTGAATTAATTATTAGCCTAGTTGTGCTCCAGTGACGAGGAATTTCTCAGTAGCCAGAGATGTCCTCTGTAGGATGTTTCTTCTGTTTACTCTGTGAGATCCTCCCAGAGCCCCCGATGACGCCGTTCCTCTTCATGTGAAGTTTCAGTTCCCAGTACATGTGGATTAAAGAATTCCGCTGAATCTGCTATTCCTTTCAAATATCTTATTTCTAAGTGTAAACATGTTGAACAGTTGCCTGAAAGAAATGTGGCTTAGTGAGACCAACACCATAGTTTGATGAAAATCTCCAGTATATCTCGCTCATAGATTTATTGTTTCTGGCTGTTGCTCCCTTAGCTTCTGAACATTTGTCATCTTCAGACGTTACAAGCTCTTTATTTTATGGAGTTTGTGCCTTTAGTCTGCGATAGTGTTAAGGTGTGGGTTTTTTTTCGTTTGTGGTAGTTCTTCTGGTAAGCAATTGGACTGTGTATCATAGCAAGAGTGACCATACAGAGGTCTTCCTGAAATAACTCAACAATCCTTTTCTCATAATTGATCGTACTGAGCAGCGCTGTCTCCTGAAAACGCTATTTTCTTTATAATTGGTGGCGTAGTGGCGTTCATTTGTGTACCTACACCTTGATGGCCAAAGCAAATGGAAGGTTACTTGTGAATTGGGGAGAGAAGAAAATCTTCCATCAGCTGTAATTATGGGGGTTTTTCCCCATCTGGCAAGAAGTAGCAATAACTCACAGGGAAATAAAACAAAGAGATTTTTTTCTGAATTTCAGTTCCAAAATAATTAGACCTTGACTTTTGAAATCTCCTTTTAAGCATTTACTTACGGATGCTATTGGTATGGGAGAGACTTACACTATTTGTGTAACATGAAACCACACAGATCAATTAGAAAAGTACATTTAGTATTATAATGCCTAAAGTTACTTTTTAAAATTAACTTTGTCTCCAAGCCAAGGCATATCTCTACAAATGTGTATATACAACTAGAAATAGTGAAAAATAAGAGGAGCTGCCCCCAAAAAGCTCAGGTCTTTTCAAATACTTCAATTTAACCTTGGAACATAATTTGATTATAAATTCATATCTTTAAATTGCAATCTGTATAAAACTGCTTTGAGGTGTTTCATTTAATATCAGTTGATATTTTTGTAAAAAAAAAAAATAAAAAAAAATCTTACAAAGAAATGGATAGTGGTAGATGCTGGACACTTTTTGTAAGGTAAAATTATATTGACAACATTTATTCTATTTTTGAATCATTTTTGACAAAATGGGTTTGGTGTTTGTAGGAGCTGTTGCAGACTTGTGGGTGGTCATTGTTATCTATCTGTTCTCTATCTTGAATAACTTAGTCTTCTCACGTTGTTTTAAAATGTCAGAGAATAGTTACCTTATAATATACATAAATGTATCTTACATTTTGTATTTGTTCTTTTACTATTTAGAGAGTTGTGTATATCCAGTATTATCAGTCTGGTTACTTACGCAGTCAGCATTTTAATAATTTGACTATTATATTTATAGGTGAAGGAAAATGGTTCAGAAACATCGATTACTATCGCTTAGATGGTTCAACTACAGCTCAGTCAAGAAAGAAATGGGCTGAAGAATTTAATGATGAAACTAATGTGAGGTGAGATCTCTTCTGATATATATGCTTTATTTTTCCCCTTCTCTTTCTTTTGTTCCCCATTTCTTTGTTGCTCGTATTAGCTTAATGACCTCTTAAGGCTAGGCAAATAAATATCGCAATGTTGTCAGTGCAGAACTTGCACAAAAAGTGCGCAACGATAGGCTTCTGGTTTCCTGAGATTACTTCCATTCATACTGATCAATACTTGTTCAGTGTTTTCTTGCTGGTTTCGTTCTTGTTTAGATTGTAAGCAATTTGGATCAGAGACAGTCTTTTTATTACAATTACTTAAAAGGCTCTAAGGACCTAGGACGGTGAGAGCCGTGCGGCGTCTGGCCAGGAGACAGCGGTCACTTGGCCAGTCAGAAGCATAGAGCTCTCTTGGCTATCTCCAGAATTGTCTGCCAGCCACCCGCCCTTCGTACAAGCTGGGAATTTCAAGTCTGAGTTGGATAGGTAGATGGATACAAACTTGTACGAGTTTAATGAAGTCAAGCAGCTTTGCCTTCCTAGATTTCTTTAAAAAAAAAAAAAAAAGTAGGTAAGTGTCAGTCATCTATAATGTACAGCTAATGTAAAAAAAAAAAGTTAAATGGAACAAAGTAAACTAATTCAGTGTTAATACTCTTAAATGATTTATTCTGTCAGGTGTCGGGGCTTGTTTTAAGTTGAACCTGAGTGAGATGATACTCAAACAAGCGCAGATACATCAAAGAGATGGTGGCAGAGTTATCCGGAAAGTTTGCTGGCCAGGAAACAGTTTCAATAGCATGGGATATGCCTGTTTAAAATTATGGTTTAATTTGATATAACTAATTCTGTTAGAGTTTGAAAATGCAAACCCAAAAATTCTTTCTTCCCCACCAGTTTTTGTTAACAGTTGATCTACAAAAGGCCCTGATCTGTATTTTGGGAGTGTATGTTTTGCTAAAAGTGTTGTCCTTATAAAATCCGCATCTGTTTTATGCTTAATACAGTATTTTAATGACATTTTTGAGTTATTTCAGTGTATGAACAGCTCGACAGTAACACAGCAACACGGGAACAATAGTTTTCCAACATATTAAAATATTGCAACTTCTCTCTGTTCCAGAGGCCGCTTGTTTATTATATCCACTAAAGCAGGTTCCCTCGGAATTAATCTTGTGGCTGCTAATAGAGTAATCATCTTTGATGCTTCTTGGAACCCATCGTATGACATCCAGAGTATTTTCAGGGTTTACCGCTTTGGGCAGAACAAACCTGTGTTTGTGTACAGGTTTTTGGCGCAGGTAGGTTTGTGTCTGATATTTTTGTGATATTCCGGTCCTGCAATCAGATTTGTAAACTGTAACTATGTGGACGTTGAAGTCTGTAGTGGTCCCCGCTGATCCAGTCATCTTCCAGCCCCACTCTGATAGCAGTATTCGGCCACTGGAAAAGCTCTTGAAGGAAAGGTTGGTAAAACAAGTAACAGCTGAAATTACTTCCTGTTAAGCCCACCTCATCTGACGCTTTGTGTAACACAAATTCTGAAATTCTAGCAGTGATTCACACGTCCAGGCTCAGACTAGTGTTCTCAGCTTTTTTAATTTGCACACCACTAAAAACTCTTAATTGAACAGACTGGGTAGAGGATGGTTGTCCTTAGGCAATGGGCTTGCTCAACGTAGCTGTCTTCTACAGACCCCTGGTCAGTGGGCCCCGATGGTCCAGCTGGAATGAAAACAGGGACCTAAAGCATTTTTTATAAAAAGGCATCCAGTCATTTGAAAACTTGTATCACACCCTGCAGATATTAAAGACATGTACTGATTCTGATGGTCGCTGATGTACTTTTTTTTTTGAAGTATACCACCACTGTTCTCATAGGGAGTATCTTGCTTCATCGTCTAGGTCTTCAGGTGTTATAGTGTAGACCGAAGACCTTTTCCCAGGAACAGCAGTTAACTCTTGATCAAGTCACTGTTTACTTGCCAACTTAAATAGATTACTTTTTGTAACGTGTTACTGTCAGACCTATCGTTTTTTTTCTTCAGGCTTTAGTCTATTTTTGTAGTCTTCTATGTGCACTTTTGAACTGTTGATATCCTTTTTAAATTACGATGTTCAGAACAGGCTGTGCTGTTCTCATACTTTTCATAGCCATCTTTTTAAAAAAAAAAAAGTAATTTTCCTCTTTTTCATCAAGGACCTAATTTTTTTTCATACACAGCTGTGATGAATTAGACTTGACTGCTTCCTTTCCCCTCTCCTCCCCACCCCAGTGACATGGTATCTGTTTTCCTTTTTACAGGCTGCTCAAAGCAGCAAAATAAGGTACATGCTGTGGAAATCGCCATTTTTTGTCATGTCCTACTTTGGGGAATTGAAGCAAAAACAGACCTCTTCAAAACACTACTGAAAAAGTACATTTCTTACTCCAGTCACTAGCTAGATGACATCTGTCACGTACACAATCCATACTACTTCCCATTCGCTTCCAGGAGGGTTTTTTTCTGTGTTTTCCTCAGCAAACAGTGTTTTCAGGTAACTTTGTAGATACCGGGTCAAAGAAATGAGGAAGATAGAGCACTTCTACGATGTTATTCTAGCTCTTTTATAGAAATCTTTTTTTTTTCCCCTGTGTGACAAGAAGGTCCAGTATTTGTATGAAAGTGAGCGTCTTCGTTTTTTAGGGAACGATGGAAGATAAGATCTATGATCGTCAGGTAACAAAGCAGTCGCTGTCTTTCCGAGTTGTCGACCAACAGCAAGTTGAACGTCATTTTACTATGAATGAACTTACAGAGCTGTACACTTTCGAGCCAGATTTGCTGGATGATCCGAATTCAGAAAAGAAAAAGAAGAGGGATACACCGATGTTGCCAAAAGTAAGTTGATGCACAGCACTAGGAATTACGTGCCGTAAAAAAACCTTACACCTGTTTAAGGACATAGAGTATTTGATATTGGAATGAGACCAGTGCTGCGTTTCCACTTCAGAGCAGTATTTTTCAATTCGAATGGAGGAGAATAACACAATAAAATTACTGGTGTAACACAATGAAATATATAATAAATGTAACAGACAGTATAATAAGCTAGATAATGAGTTTCCCTTTAATGTAATTGACAGTATAAGAAAAAAATCTGCAGTTAAAAGACAAAAATTTTAAATAGGAACAAACAAAAATACTTTTTCACACAGTTTGAGTGAATAGAAGTTTTACTGCAGGAAGCCGCAGAAGCCAAGATTCAAATTAACATCTAAGCGGGTGCTGGCGATACTTAGCATGACCTCCAATTGTGGTAACAAACCCATGAGGTGTTACTGCACTTCAGGGTCTGGTTTTTATCTACATAGGTAGGGCTTTGTAAGAGCCAAATTAATCCATGCCCTCCTTTGCCAAGCCTTTTTGGTTTTTAGTTCCTGGTTTAACTCTTCTTGTAGGGACCATTAAGAGAGACACGGTAGAGATAGGGAAAAAGTTGCACTTACTTACTGTTTAAGTGAGGGAAATTGGACAAGCTAAGATTTTGAAATATATTTTTAATGTTGCCAGTACTAGCAGAGACCAGTGATGTTTTTGTAGAGAATCGTTTACGCAGCTTGGTGAGAATGCTGGTATTCTGTACTCTGAGATAACGGGAAGTGGCGATGTCAGACCTTTTTCCCACTTCATGCTAAATGAACTTTTAAGATCCCAAGGGTTTGTTTTCAGTGAGGTCTGCCTAACTCGATTTGTAATGGATGTGGCGTGTGTCGTAGTGGCCCATTGTCACTGCTGTACATAGCAGTGGTTCGCTATCCCGTGTGATACTTTGGGACCTGAAAAATTTAACTGAATTATAAAAACTATAACTTTTGCAGTCAGGCAGGAGTAAACTTCAGG